GGGGGGGGGGTCCCCACACCGGGGGGGTCCCCACACCGCACTGTAGCGCCGCCCCTGTGTACAAACCTCGCCCTACGGGCTCGGTCTGTACAAAAAAAAATGAAAATAAGAAACTTCCCGCGCTTGCGTCAGGTACAAGTAATTTTTCCCAACTGAATTAAGAAAAAAATGCCCTCATCATTAGCCAATCACATTCGAGTAATTTTGCCCTCTATATGATTATAGTTTATATTATACCTCAAATTCAAATTGTCCAATGAAAAAACAGCATTTGTACCACGTGATAATGTGATTTTTTACGGTATTTCACTCAAATTCATGATTTCGTAATGCAGCGTGAGATATAGAGAATAATACATGGGTGCTTGGAAATACCAGATTTATTTCGAGTGTTGAACATGATATTTCACGAGTGAGCGCAGTGAACGAGTGAGATATCATGTTCAACACGAGAAATAAATCTGGTATTTCCAAGCACCCATGTATTTTTCTGTTTATTATATACACAAAATTCAGTGAAAAACAATAAAACGTCCGTGGCAATGCGTTTTACAACAAATGATATTTTCACACGTAAAAATATCGAATTTTTTACGCGTGTTTAAATACGATTTTTCTCAGTGGCCAAAAACTCTATATAACACTTATGTTTATATAATAAACTATAATATCCCACGGCAGAATCCACCGTGGATATTATAGTATCCCACGCTCACGCGTGACGCGTGGACACCGCTCTGGAACAATATGGCATTCGCGAGCTGTTTTGTTTGTAATTTCGTACAGAAGATTTGATTTAAAGGGTATGAGCAACAAAACATTTTATTGCTTCATCTGAAAGAGCATGAAAAAATAAGCCGATTGGCCGTTTAATACTCTATTCTATCTCATCTGGTTCCGAAGTTATACGCAAAAATGTGCAAAATATAAATTGCTGATTCAGCACAACGTGTGACGTCATTAGCTGGGTAAGTATGTTTATTGAATAGTATACTGCGGCATAGCTCAGTTATTATTGGCTCAAATCAAATTAAATTTTGCATACAGATAGTACATGATGAGACACATGGAAAAATACTTCTAATTTTGTTGTGAAAGCAACACAGTCGTTCCCAGGCCCCTTACACTGATTTTGAATAATTAGTTGCATTTATCTATGTGTATGTCATTTTCGAATTATTATCATGCAAGTAAACTTTTGGCACGCATAGGTATGGTACACATTGGGCCAGTATTCCAAAGGTCATTGGTTCGATTTCCACCGTGGTCAGGCATATTTTTCAAGCTTGCCCGGTGTGGATATACACTCAGAGTAATGTATCAGTCAAATCCAAGCGTGTCCATCCCCTCCCCCGGGCAAACCCCCGGGCTTTTGACAATTTTTGAAAATATGCAACAAATTCCCGGGGGCGGGAATAAAAAATACGTGAAAATGCCCGGTAGTGGGGGAAAAAATCAGTAGCAAATCCCCCACCCCGGGGACAGCTGGACTGTTTCGCTAAGAGGAGCAGATTATCCAATTACCTGAAAATATAAAAGAAAATACTTTCTTCGATCGGCCAAGTATATCGCCCAAGTATTTCGCCTGCGTTGCAAGCTACCAAGCATTGTGCGTCATACTCTAGCGCGTTTTCGTCATGCTCTAGCGCCTATAGTGCACATACATTTATCAGAATACCACAAAACATAACAGGGTATTTTGGGCACGTATAAAGTAATCCAAATTCTTAATTTCAAATGCCCCGCCCCCGGGCAAAGGTTTGAGTTCAAATGCCCATGAATAAAGCTGTTTTATAAAATTGGCGCAAGGGGCCTGGGAACGACATTGTTACCTTGGCAACAAAATTAGAAGTGTTTTTCAATGCGTCTCATTATGTACAATCAGTATCCAAACTTTCATTTGATTTGGGCCCATAATAACTGAGCTATGCTTCAGTTTAGTATTCATTAAACATACTTACCCAGCTAATGACGTCACACGTTGTGCTGAATCAGCAATTTATATTTTGCACATTTTTGCGTATAACTTCGGAACTAGATGAGATAGAATAGAGCATTAAACGGCCAATCGGCTTATTTTTTCATGCTCTTTCAGATAAAGCAATAATTTTTTTTGTTGCTCATACCCTATAACCAAAGATTTTCAAGACGTATGTTACCTTTAATGATCCAAAGGATACATGCTCAAATATTTTAAAGAGTAAACGTCAAAAACTCAGGTATACATAGGAGATTAAAAATTGTATTCGCGTAGTTATAAATATTCACTATTCAGCAAGTTTTAAAGTTTATTCTGAACTTAGTGAGTTCTTTAACTTTCGGTATAATATATCATTTATAGACCCTCCGTTCGGGGAATTCGGCGATTCGGCGATATTTCCCTCAGTGACGATATTTTCCTCGGGGCAAAGCCCCTCGAAAAATATCATCACTTCGGGAAATATTACGCCGAATCCCCCTCGCTCCGGGTCTATAAATGATAATAATACCATTGTATGAAACACGGCAATGGAAAACCAGCTCCGAACATGAATGGCTACCGTGTTTAAAGAATTTTAATTAAAGAATTAACAATAAATTTTTGGACCAATCAGCGCGTGTTTACAAGTTCTCGGTTCTCGTTTTGTGACGTCCACACTGGTCCGTTTTCGTAGCGTTTTCGTAGCGTTTCCGTATTGGTTTGTGTTCACAAGGGAATAGAGGTGTAATTACCTGGAACAATACGAAAACCAAGGGTGGAAAAAGTATCGGACCACGGGACTATTGCTACCAGAAAATATTTCCCCAAGAAAGAAAAAAAAGATTATTGCAAAAATTTAGATAAAGTAGATATTCAGGGAGAAAATTCTAATCAAAAGAGAAAATTTTACCTGTACTGTAGGTATGACTTCATAAATGCAATTTTATGTTAAGATTCTCATTTGCACTGAAATAAATTATCAAGATCCTCAGTGAACTGAAATAAATTATTAAGATTCTCAGTGCACTGAAATAAATTTTCTCTGTTAAAATATTGCATGACATCCAATTTGACAACTTGTTAGTTAGTGTTACACAGTTGCAGTGTCCATTTACTTGATTATTTGCAGAACATTTTCAATGTTCACTTGCGGTTTCAGAAAGTAAAATACGAAAACACTACGAAGATTAGTGTGGACGTTGCCTGAGCGAGCTTATATACCGAGAATCTCCATCGCGTACACAGTAAGTTGATTCGTCTCATAAAATGGTGTAAATACTGTAGATGGAGAGTTTGCATAATGTGAGTATTAAATAATATTTTCATTATAATATATTTCACATATTCATTAAAAAGTTCTCAAGATGTCACCATGGTGCAGTCATAGGTTGAGGGTTTTGTAGATATGACATCACAACAGCCGAGACTGATAATCTGAAAAATAAGTTCTTAGTTTTAGTCAAATATTCTCGTCTGTAAAATATGGGCAACACAAAATTTTAGTTTTTCCAAATTTGTAGAAAACAACATTTGAGAAGGGATATTGTAAACTCTTCCAATACTTCAACACTCTGGTCAAAAATTCCCCTAAAATAAATTAACCACTGTCCTTGATCATAGTCCTGGCTAATATGATCATAATCCTGATTACTTTAACCATTGTCCTTAGTCATACTCCTGGCTAATTTGATCATAATCCTGATTAATTTAATCATTGTCCTTAATCATAGTCCTGGCTAATTCGATCATAATCCTGATCAATTTAGCCACTGTCCTTGATCATAGTCATGGTTAATTTGATCATAATCCTGATTAATTTAGCCACTGTCCTTGATCATAATCCTGATTAATTTAACCATTGTCCTTGATCATAGTCCTGATTAATTTAACGAGGAAAAATATATGGTTGAATTAACCAGCCTACGTTAGGTGCAACCCAAGTATGTTATTTCAGCAAATTTAACCAGGAACACTAAGCCCAAACAATGTTAATTTGAGGTTAACTAAATTTTTAACCAGGGTGTTTTTACAGTCGCAGTTCATACAACTAGAATTACATGCATGTACTTCAAAATATGATGGAACTGTAAATTTTTGTAATTTTATAAAATTTAGCCCAAATTGCAGGAAATGGCATTTCAGGGACTTTAAGGTTTTCCAGGAGCTCGCATTTGGATTTTTTCACGCATTCGTCACGGGTGGGTTGACTACAAAATTTTTGTAGTTCGCTATAACTACAGCTACTTCAAAAATATGTAGTCAGCTACAACTACTGCTACTTTTGAACAAAGGTAGTTCGCTACTGACTACAGCTACTGCTTAAAAAATGTAGCGAGCTATTTCGCTATTTCGCTACTCTATATTTTTTAGTTTTACGGTATTTGGAGCATCCACTAGCTCAGGCTGTAATATAACCTATAACAGATCGACTTACGAGTAGCAACAGTAAACAAAAAGGGTCAAAGCAACATTTTTATAAGCACTACAGTGTTCAGGAGTGCCACTTTTCATTGCGCTAAAATAATCTTTACTGTATAAAATAATCTTTTAAGCAAACCGTGTCTTAATATCATTCTATTCTATATGAACGCTATAACTACTGTTTTAAGAAAGTAGTCAAAAACTACTGGCTACTTGAAAATTATAGTTCGCTACAGTAGCGAACTACAACTACTTCGCTACTACCCACCCTTGCTATTTTTCCACCCTTGCGACGCCACTGGTCAAAGAGAATAGACAAATCCCGCATTATAGACTAATTTTAAAACTAGGCAAAGAAATGCAAATAAATCACCATAGCTAGAAAGTTGAAAATTTTGTATACTTTTGTATTGCGTGCGGAAATTGCTTACAAAAGTATACAAAATTTGCGAACTTGCAAGGCTATATTTTCCGCATTTTACAACATTTCGCAACCAAACTTTGTAATTTTACTAATTTTAGTATGCTCTTTCTAGTTGTGATTCCAAAGGAATTGTCTATTTAATACTGTATCAAGGTAAGACAAAAAATTCAGGTCACATTAAAGTTTGATTTTTAGTATTCACTTAGACCAGCCTACTTCCAGTGAGTTTGTTAATACTACATGATCTATTCCAAGCACACAGCAAATAACAAGTTCAGTATTGCCGTATTGGTAAAGTGGTAAGGTGGGGGCATTCATTACTACGAAATGACATATCTATATATTTTGCTGATAGCATGAGTTGAATATCAACTTTGTAGTTATGCGTCTAGCATTTGTTCTTTTGTATTCATCAGGTTTCACAAAAAAATAAGATGGCAATTTTCATGGTTCAAAAAGAAAAAGTCTTTCATTTCACGGAAAACAAGATGCTAAAATTTCTTTCGCCTTATACAGGGTGTATCAAAATAAACGCAATTCATCTTTTGTGCTTAATAACTTTCGAAATACTATTTCTAGTTAACGCTTTTAGGCTTACTTCAAAGCCTGTTCTTTTCTCTTTCAAACAAACTATTATCCTTGTCTCCAATGCTAGTAATAATTGCACAGGAAAAGATTTAGTAAAACCTATCATTTTTAGTTGCTGTTTAATTATGCAAGTTTACTGTGTTATTGTTTAGTCGGTTTAAATGTTAGAATTTTCTTCTTTAAACTTTAATGTTGTCGTCACTACATCTGGAAAACCACGTAAGAACAAATTAAAAGTATTTTAAAAGAGACCAGGTTGTTTGAAAATCCTAAACGAATGCTAAAAATCGTCAAAACATTTCTGGTGTCTGAGCCAGAGTGTCGTCGAATTGCGATGTAATGTAAACAGAAATTATAGCAAGTTGATGTCAGTCAGCTTAGATGGTCCAAGCCAAAATTATGTCGCATTTGAAGTTTCAAACTGAGTTAAAAATAGTGGAAGAAAAGCCGTAATTATACTTATTGTTACAATCCATTTAATAAAATGCAACATTTTTTTGTTTTAATGAAAAAATCAGTTATTTTCATGAGAACGATTTGTTATTCCATCTCAATTTTTTTAATCTCCAATCGCAATAACGTAAAGTATTATTACCCGCGAACCAATGAGTCAAATTTAAGAAACAACCCACTGTTAGAAAGCTGAATGGCTACGCTTTAAAATGAATGTAAACTTTAACGTTTTCGTCTATTATTTGTTTAGCAATTTACATTTCAGTCGAGGATTGCGCTTTTTTTGATACACCCTGTATATGTACTCACTAACTGGCATAGTTGTGTAGTTTATGCAGGAGTACAATTTTCAATAATATTGTATATAATTGACATTACATGAAGTGCAGGCTCATGTAATTTGCTCAAAACGTCGAAGTAGTCCTTGTGTTTTTCAGACAGGTAGTTGTATCCCTATCAATCCATAGTACAATTTCAGTATTGAAAAATGGCCTTTGAACATTCTGATTGGTTCCCTCAGCAGTAACTCTGAGGCAATAATTACTACTCAGGCTGCTCTGAGCAGTAACTATTGCTTTTCCCAAAAAATGGCTGAACATCAGATGGAAGTAAATACATATGCAAATTATATTCATAAAATAGACACATGTATTAGTTGTATTTATAAATAAAGCTTTTTCAATACTGAAATTATACTAAAACAATTAGTTGCCTCAGGCTCGGTGATTACAAGCCTATATTCACTTCGCCTTCGGCAACTAATTGTAGTGCTGTGCGCCGGAGTTCTGCCGGAGCTCCGGCGGTTTTTCCAACGCCGGAGCCGGAGCAGAATTTTGTATGCCGGAGCCCGGAGCCGGAGTTACGTTCTCCCAGCTCCGGCAAAATGACAAGAAAACAATATGAAACGAGACAAATGTCAAACGATTGTTAGTTACGAACGCGCAAAACGCAAACTCCGTCAGTTGACACAGGAAACTAAGGACTTGATTAAACAAAAACGCCATCAATACATACAAAAAGTTCAAGATTCCCTCGCAAAATCACCTAAGTTATTCTGGTCCTACCACAAACATATCCTCCGCAATAGAAATTCCCCACCTGCTAACACGTAGGCCTACAACAACTCAACTGCAACAACACCAAACAAAAAAGCAGAACTTTTCAATGCATTCTTCGCCTCTGTTTTTCTTCCGAAGTCATCTTCCCAAGATGCAAACCTGAACATGACACCGAAAACTGACGAAATAATATCTGATATTCAGATCTCGCAGAATGAAGTCGAGCAGTACCTTAACCATTTGGACACAACAAAGGCTTATGGCCCAGACGGAATACCACCACGTCTACTGAAAGAATTTTCAAGAGAAATCTCGACAAGCCTCTGCAGTTTGTTCAACATGTCCTTAACAACAGGCCGCCTACCTATGGAATGGAAACATGCGAACGTTATACCCATCCACAAAAAAGACTGTGTCGAACCCGTGACCAACTACCGTCCCATTTCCCTTCTGCCAATAATTTCCAAAGTTCTCGAAAGATGCGTTTTCAATAACATTTACCCCTTTGTTCGTGTACTGATCAATAATGTCCAACATGGCTTCTTAAGAAATCGTTCATGTATAACCCAGCTTCTAGGTATACTACATGACATTGGTAAAAATCTGGATCGAAACAAACAAATCGATGTGCTATACCTAGATTTCTCGAAAGCGTTCGACTCTGTAGATCATGACATCCTACTTCACAAACTACAAATGCATGGCATAAACGGAACGCTTTTACGATGGTTCGAAAACTACTTGAACGACAACCTCGTTCCCAGGGTCTCTCCTTCTGTCATCTGGGAGAGACCCTGGCTGCGGCTGGTCACGTGCCTCCCAGATTCTGGGAGGTAAATTTAATTGTAACTGTGAGAGGGGTGGGAAAGAAGCGTGTTTGTTGTGTTTTAAAATTGCAACTTTGGGTGATGAAATTTACTGTAAATTTGCAACAAGAAATCGTAAAGAGAACTCTTATTAAATTAATATTTATATCGTGACGTTCTACTCTATAATCTGGTGTCGAGTTACAATTCAAACAAGTTGGATCAGATTTCATTATAGACTTGCCAAAGAAAGCACGCTTGCGGCGGCTTGCCGCTTGTGCAGCGTGGCAATATTAAACCTACAAGAAAATATATATCTCCAGACTGAACAGTGTGGTTGTTATTTATTTAGTATTAAAGTCTATCCTGATACTCGGACCAAAAGAATTTATTTATTGATGAGATGTGGAATATTTGCAACGAAATAGCGAGATCTTTTGATTTCCGAAATATCGCCAAGACGCCAACTGTATCCAGATATTTGTTGATCTATATAAAGGCCTTATCAAAAAAACTTAAAGCCCGTCAAAAGACTATAAAATTGGCCCTTGGCATTGCTGAAACCAACGATCATGGTATATGTCAAAGTATAGTTGTCTGTTGAAAATCTACGGTATTAAAATCATACACCAAAGATAAGTCAAACGACAAATTATATGTCACTATATAATACATGTCTTTCAATAAGCACTCTTTAGTAGTGTTCACCACCTTTATAAATTTTTAAACAGCTTTCGTTTTGACATAAATAAGCTATAATTTTTTATTTTTTTTGCTTTATATGCATTCTTAATAATACAAGTGAGATTTAAATTTTTGCTCTGTGAAATAGAATACCGTTATTTTTTAATGGACAGCTTGCATCGTCTATCATATCCAGGATTGCTTGTGTGTAAACGCATTATTCACTATATGACACTATCAAATAAATATAAGTAGCAAATGATTAATGAATTAGAGATAAACAGGTGATTCACAATGAAAACTTTAAAAATGTTAGTAGAAGTAGAAAACTCGAAAATTTATGTCTATTCGTATGACGCCAATGACGGTGTGCGCATCTGACACTGTAAATTTGTGATATAGATTATAGTATGTTAACATAATATAATGATTAATAGAGACCAAGAAAAAGGCTAAAGTCTTACTATAATTACCGAATACAAATTATGTACTAAATCCAGATAAATCAATGAATGAAATTTCCTCTATGCTTATGGACATTTCTCTGTTCGGCTATTGTGTCTATTATCAAATATTTACATTTGCTAATATTGGGCCAGTCCTAGACAATACTGTTTCTTTTAAAAATCTTATAAACAAGACGCGTAGTAACAAGTGAATCGGTGCAAAGCGTATCAACATTTACAAGAATGGACGAATGTAATGGCGTATTTTAAAAACATTACAATAAACGTTTGTTATAATCGTGCTCGAGTGTGAACAGAACATGCATTGAGTATTTAAACAACACGAGACTCGAGCACTGCGGGTAACGATTTGCTTGGTTTCTTTGACTTGGCTGTAAGTAAGAATGTTCTTGTAAATTCAAAGCAAAGAAAATAAACAAAACTTAGCAAGTATTTTGAACGTAATAATTCACAAAATTTATGTTTTTAACGAATATCCGACTGGAAGCATGTTGATGTAATTTGATACTTTCCCCACACCCCCTCGGGCGCTAAATTTTTGATGAGGCACGTGACCAGCCACAGCCAGGGTCTTTCCCAAAGAAAGATCCTGGGTACGAGGTTGACGTCATGCTTTCATGAAGCCATCTGACTTAGCGCTACATAGTCTGTGTATTCATGCCTTGTAGATAACGAAAAAGTACAAAACAAATAAATACTTTGTTTGTGTGCGAACAATTGCCATGTGGAGTCTGAGAGTGTTAGCGTCATGCCTCGCGTCATGCCTCGTGTCAAAGATTTTTCGAGGCTGGTTTCCATATAGATATTTTCTGCGTGGTTAAGTGTTTTCACTGTTTTGTTTCCTGAGTTATGTTATCTGATAATTAGGAATCGCGAAAAGGGTTATTCATAATAATATTAATAAATGTTCTCTGATCGTAAAACATTTATTTAATATTTTATGATGTGGCCGGAGCCGGAGCTCAGAGCTGTAATTCGGCCGGAGCCGGAGATGAAAAACCGGAGTTTGCACAGCACCAACTAATTGTTAAATAGTAGTGTATGGATGTCAATAATTTGGATTGCACTTCACTTGGTGGAATTAATATTAGAATGTTAGGGTTTGTAATCCAAGTGAGAATATATACATTTTAAGACCTAACCAGGAACGACTGCGAAAAATGCAGCACAAGGTCCTCTGGTAGGAATTGAACCTACGGCCCTGCGATTCCGGTGCAGTAATCCGGAATGGCAGGGCTGTAGGTTCAATTCCTACCAGAGGACCTTGTTTTGCATTTTTCGCAGTCGTTCCTGGTTATATAGGTCTTAAAATGTATATATTCTCACTTGGATTACAAACCTTAACATTCTAATAGTTTACGGATGACATCTAATGGGGGCCATTTTGATAGTTTCAAATATATATTTATAGTCTTTATGGGGAAAGGCACAGAGGTAAGACAAGAAGACAAGTTCTTACATTCTGCTCTCTGCAAAATATTTAAAATCATGTTTCACAGGAATCTCTTTAAATCTCGTTTTACGAAATATAAGTAAAGGATATCACGCTTCATGGGAGCTACTTTAAAAATCACATGCATTTTTATGGATATTAAAATAGCCATTTCATTGGAAATAAAAAGGCAATTCGGTCACACTTCACAAAAATAACCACGATACCACCTTCAGTATTGAGTACTGAGTAATGGTAAATGCAAAAACAAACAAGTATGCTGGGGACAAAAAACTTACAAAAAGCTGCTAAACATTTGTTTTGTATCTTCTGATGCTTTGGAATTGGCAAAGCTGATGAAAGCACAATAGACTGCTGCCCAGGCTGCCCATTTCATCTAGAACAACATGTGAGGTATTTTAGAATGGGTACAGGGTATTTTCATTTTGATATATAGTGAATATTACACTGCCCTCTGCTGACGAACTTGTTGTCTGTCAGAATAAAATCTTAATGTATGAATTGGTAAACTAATTAAATTGGAGGGATTTTTGTAGGTGAAAAATTATATAGTTACATTTGTAAACCTAACCAGGAGCAGTTGCAAAAAATGCAACCATAGGTCCAAAATCAAATCTGCAATTCCAGTACAGTGTTCTAACCAAGTGAGCTACAGAGTCCAGTAAATAATATAATGACTGTAATACAAGTTTAAAATGGATCTGCAGTAATTGGCCTCAGCTGTTGCAGTTTTCCTATGTAAAATTATGCAATTTGTATGTAGTGCATTCAATTCAAGGCAAAGTTAATAAATTATACAGTAAGGTGATACCAATGTATGGTTAAATATTTTGGGCATCTCATTTGATAGAACTAGAGATTCATTGATGGGATCTAACCAACCAAGTTACAGAGAATTGCTGAGCATTGAACACAAGTTAACTAAAAGTGATGCCATGCAGACAGTGTAAACTGGTAAATATCTGGTTCTTCACATTAAATTTCCATCAACAAAAACCCCTACTCACTGAGTACCCTACTTTGCTTGGGACTAAATTGAAACATAGTAGTGGGGTGTAAATGGATGTTATGCTTAGTGGCGGAAGTTCACTTTTTCTGGGGGGGACAAAATGTCAAATTTCTGACAACCCCCCCCCCATTTGCACTCGAAAAGGCTGTTTTTAGCCCTCTTTTAGATCATAATTTCTGAAAATTCATCATTTTCTGTTAAGGTGGGGGCGGGGGAGGCGCCCCCCACCAAGATTTCCACCACTGATTATGCTGCATGGTCTTGTGAAATTTCCATACAAAGAAAAACTTTTCATTAGGAAATAGGTACATTCCACCTTGACAAGTCGATAAGAGAGATTGACTATTAACTATGGACTGACAGACAGTATGTCAGGAATTTTTTTAGGAATTTATTCATTTTGTCACTATTTAATTTAATTAAATTTAATCATTTGTCACAACACAATCATTACGCATACATCTACAATAAACAGAGGACACAAGTGTGACTGGGGAAAGGAACAGGACTTGCGTCCCAATTGACACCTGACCCCAACATTAAAACTATAGACTTTGCTGCTTGTTGCACACCGAGCACGACTTTCCTCATGATTTCATGACAAAAGTACTGCAGGTACACATAGAAATTAAGTCATTTGCCACTATTACCACTATTCTATTTACAGAAGGATTAAATGGAAAAATAAATAAAGGAATGTGTACACTTTATTAGGCTTTCCTTTAAATTAAGCTGAATGATTTGACCGGTCTGAAATTCGATATGTCCTAGCTAAAATTGATTTGGCCAGTCACCATGCCGGCCAACCCTCCAGCCGTTATTTCTCGCCCTGCTGTTAACCCTCTAAGGGGCAATACACCCTGATACAGTGATGCACCCTACTTTATTATATATTATTTTACTCTCTATTAAAGCCCAATGGTTTTATCCCTCACATGAAAAGTGCTGCCATAATGTCATTCAATGGGTTAATATCCTGGACATTTCCCTTAATTCCCTTTATATAAAAATAATTTGGCATTGGCCATTGAGGTGTAATTGAGCAACAAGATGTTTATTATATCATGGAATATTTTACCATACACTTCTAGCCAAGCCGAGTACATATGACGCTGAATGTACACACAACGTACTATATTACCGTATTCATATGAATAATGAACATGAACTAGGCTGAAAAACACTCACTGAACTCAATTACACAAAGAACACAATTTATTTCCACTTACTCTCATCATTAAACCAAGCATACTAAATATCATTCCTAACAAACTAACATAATCAGGCAATGGATCTTGATTAGGTTTATTTGTCACAGGAATATATCGATATATTCTGTTCTCTCTTCGTGGATCTTGGTTGGAAGAGAGATTGCTTCCTGCAGCCACACGAGACGACATCTTGAATTTTTATACAACATTAATTTGTGCCGTTGTTGGCATCTAACCGTGGACATAACCTGCGATCAGGCGATCGGATTAAGGATTGTGTCAGGCTATTATTTGTAAAATAGAGCCTGATCGCAGGTTACCGTGGACAGTACCAGTGCGCGAGAGTTGGCAGTCACGTGATCTTGGTTAAATGCTTTCTCAACACTATCATGTATTCTATTCAAGTTCAAGGGTGGGTAGTAGCGAAGTAGTCGCGTACGTCTTCTACATCGTCTCAGAGAATTTGGATTCGGAGGAAAACTCTTAATGTGGTTTAATTCTTACTTGAAAAATCGCCAACAACAAACTACTGTTCTCGGTGCAACATCGACAGCACTACCAGTACATCCGGAGTACCACAAGTTCCATTCTTGGCCCGCTACTTTTCCTCTTATATACCAACATAAACGCCCTGATACCAATGATCTATCCTCTTCCATCGTGAATTCGAACGTAGCAGCTTTCGCTGATGGCTAAGATTTTTAAAGTGATTAACTCCAGGACCGATGCAATGTTATTACAAAATGATCTTCTCAACTTTAATTCCTCCTCATCCAATCCTGGTCTGCATCTTAACACATCAAAATGTAAAACCCTCCAGGTCACCAGGAAACACAACAAAATAGATTTCCCTTATCTACACATCTACTACATGATACCATACTAGAAAAGACTGATTGCGAACTCGATTTACGTGTATGGACGAATTACGATCTCACTTGGTCAAAGCAAGTTACACAACAAAGTAACAAAGCTAATAAAATGCTGGGTTATATTCGAAGATCAACTTTCAATATTCGCGAGTTTGCAATTCGACGAACACTGTACCTTTCTCTTGGTTCGCTCACACTTAGGATATGCCACCCAAGTATGGGCGCCCCAAACAGTTGAGTTTGTGAAAAGAGTAGAACGAGTTCAGAGGCGTGCAACTAAATATATTTTAAATGTTCCCTTTATTTGTGATACAGAATATAGAGACCGATTCCTTGTAACCAGTTTGCTCCCTCTCAGCTACTGGCACGAATACTGACCTGGATGTAGTATTCTTCTATAAGGCAAATCACGACATTTTTAATATTGATAAAAAAATTCTTCCATTTCCTCAACCTCAGGGTCAAAGACAGACAAGATCATTTAATCCCAACTCGCACAAATATAAAATTCCGACATACAAGACGTCAACCTATATGAAAAATCTTACAAAATCCGAACATCAAGAATATGGAACATACTACCTAATTATATTACATCCAAAGACCGAACATTTTCAGAATTCAAGAATCTTCTTTTTAAGTACTATATTTTAGCATTAGAAAATACATACGATGTTGAGGATCCCCGGATCGTCATCGGACATGGAAAAGTGTGTGTATAAAATGTAATTCCGCTCGAAGTTTAATGAACTCTCCATTGACATGCTGCTTTTAGACAAATGTAATGACTGTTGTTCAAGTACTGTCTGTTGTGCGTGTTTAGTATACCTTGTAAATTGTTTCTGTATAACTATTGGGGCCGCTGTAATTGGCAATAGCTGTTGTGGTTTCCCAGCCAATGAATGTATAAGTATGATGGCAAAGTAAATAAATAGTTGTAGTTCGCTACTGTAGCGAACTACAATTTTCAAGTAGCCAGTAGTTTTGACTATTTTTTTAAAACAGTGGCTGTAGTTCAAGCGAACTACATTTTGCCTAAAAGTAGCCAAGTAGTTGACTACTTTTCAAACAGCGAATCGCTATTCGCTACTTTTTAAAATTGTTAGCAACTTGATAGAATAGCATGATATTGAGAAACGGTTTGCTTAAAATCAATACTCAATACTCCCATAGCCTATCGAAGGAGAGATGGCTGTGAAACTCATTAGAATAACAATATAACTCATTATCTATGTTGGTCAACGTTTATTCATAAATCTGGTCGTTCACCGTCACGTGTGTATTACTGTATTGTATTTTTACTCAACTAACCAATAGCAATGTTTTAGTAAAGTCACCTATCCGTAACTCGAACAATAGGGAACTGACTGGAAATTGCTATTGGTGGATTTGGTAAAAATACAATACACACGTAACGGTGAAGGACCAGATTTATGAATAAACGTTGACTAACATAGATAATGAGTTATACTGTTATTCTAATGAGTTTCATAGCTATCTTCCCTTCGATAGGCTATGATACTCACGAACACTATAGAAGGGGGGCCAGGGTATTTTCGTGACCCGTGATTAGCAATTATTCGTGCCTCGTGATGTGAAGAAATAACATTCCGTGAATCGTAACTATAAAAAGAGCTAGCTAGGGTCTTGAATTTACCAATATTTTACCCTAACTTGTGAATGTTTACGTTTAAAACTCGGCCCAAATTTAATATTAACGTTAAAAAAATGAATAAATTTGCTTCCCGCGGTTGTCTTTCTTGACGTTTCTTCGTTTCATCGTAAACGTCGTTCTCGTATACCTTCGTACCTCTTTGTAGACTTCGTGAACCATCGTAAGACGCTCGTAATGTTTCGTAATGCCTTGCAACGATTAATAGTCCTTTACAAGCTCTAATGTTAAAGTCAGTAAAATGTGTTTGTGTTAACATCGAGTTCTGCTGTCTAGAAAATCGTTAAATAGTTTCAGACTTTGTTTATACGCTTCTGTGTTTCTAAAAATTGTGAAAATGAAATTTTGTTTTTCGTGACTCGTGAAATCTAAAAATAATCTTCGTGATTTCGTGGCGAGACCCCCCTTGTCCCCCCCCCCCAACTAATGACGTTTCACGGCAGGAAATTACTAAATCTTGTTTATATGGGCTTTTGGTTTCAAAATACAACTTGCAGAATGAAGGCAGAATAGGAACAAATTTCGACGTTTCGAGCGAAGACCGCGGCAGCGTCAGGTGACGATCCAACACAGTCTGGTGTTGATGTGACAAACTCTCTTCTAGGAGCAACTGAACATACATCAACAGGGAAGACGAAGAAAATCCTTGCGCACAATTGCATCAGTTCATCATCATCGGTTCTACGAGGCACTGGACCGTCATCAGACAGTGCGTATCTTGCGCGTGAATATGTCTCCCACTGAATTACTCAAATGATCAAGTATTCTGATATCAATATTTGACACTGTTAAAAAGTGATTTATCGCAGCTAATGTCAGCCAATAAGCTGAATTCTGCAGCTTACAAAATTTTCAACTAAAATATAGTACTGGTCTATTTACAATATAATATTGTACTGAGAAATAATTATAGCTAAAACCATATTCAAATGTTTCCTACCATATTCAGAAACATTTGATGTTTCCCTATGTTTCTCACTAATGTTTCCTAGTGTTTGCCCACTCTGGCAAACATGGCGAAACATTGGCAGGGAAACAATGTTTCCGGCGCAACAATGTTTCCCAGTTTGCCCAGGGCTTTAGTTTTTAGTATAATTACATAGGTGAATATTGACAATTCTCCACGTTGATTGGTTGCCGTTAGGTGATTATAACGCGATAATCACCTAAGCAATTTTCGAAATGGTACCCTGGTTCCAAAGGTTTAATTTTATTATTTTCATTATCGAAGAAATGCGTATTTTTTATTTTTCCAAATAATCACCTATGAAATTATACTAAAGCAATTATTCACCTCAGGCTCGGTGATTATCCGGTGAATAAAAACCTCGACTTCGTCTCGGTTTTTATTCACCGATAGTCACCTCGCCTTCGGCGAATAATTGTTAAAGAACTACATAGACAGGTAAATTTTTGTTGAGCCCCCTGCATGGCAGCTTAATTTTGAACAAGGCTCCTTGACCTTGTCAACGAAAACTTTTCAATTTAATTACTGGTCGAAAACACATTTTCTCCCTCTGACATTCGGATCAAACGGAGGTTGCCTATGTGTAAGAAGCATAATAATGGCATTGAAAGTTCGCAAACTTCAGAGTTCAGTTAAATTCGTAATTTAAAAAAATTCGTTGTCAAGTCGGCAGTTAAATCATCTTTAAATTACGAAGACTTCAATTATTCTTCATTTTGATCTGAAATGCGAATGATTTCGATAGGTTTTCAAAAAGGTTATTATTGATCCAGCTCGTTTTGAACCCGTCGACATATTTTCATACTTTTCATAACTTTCAATCCCTCGGCACGTAAAAGCTTGTCTTTCCAGTAAAAGATTAAGCAGTTGAATGTACCATTCATCGAACCTGCAGTTTTAGCCCAGATCCCTGCAATGCTTGCATCGTCTAAAGTAACTATTGTTTCTTTTGAGTTTATCATTAGTCCAATATAGACGAACACAGGAATGGATAGACCACAACACAAGCGATTGCTTGCAAGCAACTAGGGATAGTTTTCAAAGAAAACGTCTTTTGCGTCTCGGGTAATATTCTCCTACGACTTTTCCTAACAATCAGAAACAGTTTGTAGTTGATAAATAACACTGCAGGAATGACAAGAATAGAAATAATTACAACATGTACCTGGTTAGAAATAACAGAATCGTTTCCAGATATCACTCCCAAAGTCATTTCGACGATGATCAGTATTGCAAGAAGAGTTAAAAGTCTTCCCTTCGTTACCGATGTTCGATGAAAGATAGGATAAGATGTCGCCAAATATCGGTCGAAATTCATCACCACGAGAGCGAGCAAAGGAAACGTAAGAAAACTATTTGTTAACCTTAAGAAAGTATAAACCCATGTAGCATTTACAGCCAACTTTCCAGTCAACCATAACATCGAAATAAGGGACATCAATAGATTATTGGTTAAAACTGCAAGCAAATCGCAACAGGCCAAAACCATTATCATGAAATAACATAATTTCTTTCGAAGTTGTATATATCTCCAGAAACTGAGTATGACCAAGGAATTTAAACATATTCCCGAGAAAAAGAAGAATACATTCACAGCGAAAATAAATATCAGGTTGACAAAATAAATAGATTCCATTTCGAGCAACTTCTTCTGGAGAATTAAACATAAAAAATAATGCCGTTGCGTTTTAAGCGTGACATCTAAATTAAAATTACTAAAGTGCGTATAAATGACATGTATAAGTACCATACATTTCATTATCATAAAATAGCAATATGAAAGAGATAATATGCCTGTGTGTCTTGATGTACTTGAAAATATATCATATTTCATAAGTACATGCAGCTCATGGAAGTTTGTATACTACTAAAACTAGTTGCGACAATAACATATGACCCTTACTGTACGAAGAAGATTTTATAACTGATAAAGCTATCCATGCAGTGTAAATTAATTAGGTTATATATTATATATAGTTTAGATTTCCACCTGCATTCCTTTACTGCATGGACCTTCAGGAAGAACAGCCTGATAGAGCTATCCAGTGTAAATGCCATAGCTTTATTTATATAGGTTTCCTTCTGTAGTAACACTGGATCAATAAGAGATGAACCTTTATACTGATACTCATGCACCCCTAGGAAGAGCAGTTAAAACTGATATACTGTAGAGCTATCCAGTGTGAAATGTTATAGCCTTATTTAAGTTTCCTCCTGTAGTAACACTGGATCAATAAGAGATGAACTTTTATACTGGACGGATAGGAAGAGTGTAGTTTAGAACTGATAGAGCTATCTAGTGTAAATGTCATAGCTTAATTTAGGTTTCCTGCTGTATAGTGTCAATGGTTCAATAAGAAATGGCCTTACTGCATGTTTAGAACTGATAGAGCTTTCCAGTGTAAATAAAGTTATAGATAAATTTAACATTTTAAATAAAACGTTTTAGCCCAAAACATACACGATCTAACAATGCGTTTGCCTCTGTGAGGTAAGGTGAAGCGTGCTTGTCGTTTGGGCCACTGTACTCTGTATAGTGCATGTGTAATTAAAATATATTAAAAAACAAGAATTGTCTCGAAATGTCTCACCCTACCCTTAAGTTGTTTTCCAAAACTGCAAACTAATAACTATAATGAAACAGGTGTAGATATGTAAAATATGACATCTGTATTATATTACGGCATCATTAAATTTTTAAAAACTACAGTATTTAACATTGTCAATATACAATATAAAAATCTGAAAGGTTTTTTCTAAATTTTCAGCTGCAAATTGTCGATCCAAATTCCAAACATCCCCAACGGCAAGACATTTATTTTCAAGACGCGTCCCCCGTATTCCATATATAGAATAACTCATTTATAATTCAGATTGCCCCCTCCCCATTTTCATTTCTTAACATTTCACTTTATTTTGCATTCATGAATTGGTCCTTGCCCTTGGTTGTTGGAGGTATCTGGTGTAAACGGGTCTTAAGTCGGGTCCTAGGTAGCAGGTAAGTCTCTGGAAATGTCAGTCTTAGTGTAAACACAACTTAGGGTCGCCAGAGACTGCTAGAACTGTGCTGTCATAAGTCACTTCACAAAATCTCCCGCCGAGACGGCATCAACTATTTCGCTGACCTCAGAATGACATTTTATCAAAACGTTTTTCTTCAAGATTGGTTTAGAAACAAAATTGGAGTAGGGTTAGGTTAGGGTTAGGATTAGAGTTGGTGTTTGGAGTAGGGTTAGTGTCAGTAAAACCGTTGCTTTGTTACGTTTTGTCACTCTGGGGCCAGCGAAATAATCTCTTCCCGCCGAGACGTCTGGTTTGTCACTGGCACTATAGGCGTGCGGACCTGAGAATGTCTGGACCGCCACACACACATGGTGAGAAACGTTACCACTGTTGTTATTGCTATTGAAACTTGTTGTTTCAATAGCAAGACAGAGTGACCAGCACAGAGCTCTTCCAATGTACTGCCATCCATAGCTTGCCATAACTTTCCTGTAATGTTGAGACGCCTCAGGTGGGTGATGTGTGTGTGGGGGGGGGGGGGCATGGACCTACAATTTAGGCGAAAAACCAATTGCACACTACAAAATTTTACAATTTCGGTACCAGAATTCCATCTTAAAAATGTTTTCGGAGTTTTTGGCACAGATTACAAAACCTTAATCAGAAAATGTTAAACAAAAAATAGAAAAACATAACATTATTTAGGATGTATTTGCACATTTTGGATCTTATAATTTATATTGTACAAAATATTTACACACTATAGATCCAAATAACAGATGAGGTACATATACTTAATCTGTGTCTAAATTCACCTGTACTTTGGCAAGACAAGAACACGAAGTTAATATCTTCTACCATTATTATAGCGGATTCTTAGTTACAGTAACCCTCTTCTTGATCCATTGAACTCTGACAGATGAAAATTGATACAATATGTGATTTCTATACTGAAAAGCTCTCACCACAACCACAAGTTCCCTTGATATTTGGATTATTAAAAACAAATTCACTGGATAAAGTATCTTCAACAAAATCCATTTCTGTTCCAAGCAGTGTCAGCTGAGCTTTTGCATCAATATATATCTTAACACCTGGCAAAAAATATTAAGTAGAGTAAATTAAAATTTCTCTGGTTAAAATGTCTACTCGAGCCTCTTCTCTCTTGGCAGGAACATTTTATAGAATGATACATGTAATTTTGAACTTTCATTTCAATTCTTGCTAACTTTTTTCAGTAAATAAAGTACGGGGATTTTTGTCAATATTGCTGTATTGGCAGATTCTGACTTTTTCTTGGGGCTTCTGCCTTCTGCAATGAAGGTCAGGGATGCAAAAGTGAAGAAGCACATTTGCCTTCTTCAACCCTTTTCAGTAAAATACTATGCCAGAGAGCTTCACACTTCCACTACCTCTCACTGATTGGTTAATCAGATATATCAAACATATCTGATTGGTTAATGGTCCGTTAATGGTAGCAGACTAGCAGTAGTGGAAGTCAAATTAGAATTTCTCTAGTATACAGTAATATTAGTGGTAAAACATGTATAGCGTTTGATAAACCTACCATCTTGTTCGACCTCCTCATCAAACTTTCCCTTTTCTTGGATATAATCTAATATGTAAGACAAACCATTGCAACCACGTTGTCGAACACCAACTTTCAAACCAATCTGGTTTAGAGGAAATATACAAAATGGAGTTCTTTTCAGTGAAGAATATCACTGACTTCAAAAGTTGATTAATATGCTGGAAGGAGAAAGACCTCTCGGAGGATGAAGTTGTCAACATCTGCATGTCTCTGGGAGTAAAAAAACTGGGAGGAAAAATATGATAACTGAGAGATTTATAAATGGAAACACGTTCTTACCACATCTGATTTTTTTGTTAACAATTCCTTGATTTTGTTCACAGCACTTGGACTCTAGGGCAAAAAATAAATTGAATATAAACTCATTGACTGTTTATTTCCCTCAATGACCTCGTTTTCATGTGATTATTTCCTCATGTTTTGTGCACAATACATTTGGAGGGCCCTGAAGGGGTAAAATGGGAACTGGGATTGATCTATTTTTAGACTGGGAAAATGGGATTTGGGTTGCTGGGACTGGGATTTGGCCACTGGGAATGGGAAATGAAGTCCTCAAAAATGGGAATGGGATTGAGGTAATGCGAGTCGATTCCCAATTTTCTGCGTTTTGAGTATTTTAAAATACAATTTTGATCCGTTTTTGGTGTCTTTGGTCATGATTTTTGTTGTTAACTATATTATTCACAGCACTGACTACCTGCGAACAGGCATACTCTGGCACCCGGAATTCTGGGTTTTCTGATTATGCGTGTCTCAGAATGCTGCAAATGCAATTTCCGGGATTCAAATTTAAAAATTTTCCATGCCTTTGGCACGAGCCCCCCTAATATTTCATAAAGTGTCTGCCACATGCTTAAAAGGTCTTAAAACTGTTTATTCTACCGATAAATAAAGGGTTTTTTATTGACTGGGATTTCAATAACTGGGACTGGGATTTCTAATAAAAATTTTGCCAAAATTTCAGGTGGGAAATGGGATTGGGACCCCCCCTTCAGGACCCTCCATTTGCAATTGGGTTCAAAATCAAAACATTTCCAATCCATAATAAAAAAATGTCGAGATACAACTCAGGGCTTTATCCAAGCACCAAGTGACCTCTGGTAAATGGAGGTCAAAACTCAATCTTGGATTGAGTTTTTAATTAAACTGAACCTTTCCCCCAACGAAAAGAAAAAACAACAAAAAATCATTTTCACTCGCTTTAGTTTTTGGAATTCCAAGAAACAGGGTTATTTGAGCTGGTTTTTCCCCCCCAATAAAACGACATGTTTATGTTATAAAGCTATATACCTCTATCGTATATTTGTGTCTTGTGCCCACCATGCTTTAGATGGCATAAATGTTTGGATTTCTCATAAAAATATCAATCAAATCAGCACAAAATGAACTGGGATGATTGAAGAATAACAAATATTACAAATAGAAAGTAAATTTTTCGAACTAAAATCCAAAATTTACACAACCTTGAGCTGGAAGAGTGAAAAAGCAGCAAAAAAAATATGCTCGAAAACGAGTACATCAATGCATGGCCTCTTTGGTATTGCACAATGTTTACATAAGATTACATATGTGACGGCAACATAATCTAAGATGCTGAAATAGCAAAAGCTTTCAGGGACTTTGCCCCTAGACCCCCAGGGCTACATTTGTGCATGAAGTGAAGGTAACATCTCTCACGAAGAAGTCAGGCCACAGATACAATATATTACCAAAACTGTGGATGCTTCCAGTGGCATAGCCAGCCCGACAATTAGTCCCGCTATGCAAATTCAAAATTATTATCATTATTCATTTCTTTAGAAATTGATTGTTTTCCAGGGTATGAATTAACTTTGGGAAAGTGCATCGCGATTATTGTCATTGAAAAGTCATACACCCACTCCCCCATTTGTCTATTTTCCCGGCTCCCTAAGACATTGGAAATTCCAATATTTTTAATCTCAAACATTTTTTCATTGCTATATCAACAGCATGCTTGTGTATATCAGTGTTGACATGCTTTTTGACAGAATCAGAGGTTGCGCTTTTAGAGCCTTCGGCCCATGCACGACTGTAGTTTTTCAACCCTTGGAGCCGATCGTCGTATTCTTTACACGTCGAATATTTCCAACATTTCCACCAGGTTGTACTGTATATCCCATTCAAGTTTAATGTTTTATTCTTTCTCCCAGTTTTTCACCATTTTAAGTTTAGGCATGTCTTCTATGTCACTACAGTATATGTGTGAAGAAGTTTTTTTTGCCTTTTATACTTTCCCCCAAGATGTATAGGATCAAAATTTTTGAATTATGATTGGTTCATTTAATTGCAATAACAGTCGGACCTCTGTGAACACAGCAATATAAATTATCATCACTAATTTAACCGATTTTGATCTCTGTGAAAAGATAAATAATATACTGTCTAGGTATCTTGGCAGCATGGTTTAAATAAACAGTCCCTCGCACTCTATTCAATTTTATGACTTGTTCAAAATGCAGTTTCTGTCAAAATATATTGGAAAAAAGAGATGATTTGACAAACAATTATTACGTATCGCGTTTTTTAAAGTTTTTGCACATTTTTGTATCGCATACTGTATCTTCAAAAGTGCATCGCGATTTGCGAATCGCGATATGTTAATTCGTACCCTGGTTTTCACAGTCAATAAACACACGGAAATATTTGCATAGCAGGACTAAATTGTTGGGCTGGCTATGCTACTGGATGCTTTGTATTAGTACTATTCTGTGGTACTGGTGTCAAAGAATGTGACTACATTCAGCAATGCAACTATATTCCTATGCCTTTTTCTGCTGAAATGTCAAACTATAATTAGTTATCTCAGTATAATGTACCGATCAATTCGAAACTTCAACATCCCCCCCCCGGGCATATCCCGGGAATTTGACTTCAAGTCTTCTCCAGGGAGTAGGGAATTTGACGTTCTAAGTCTTCCATGTGGTGGGGCATTTGATAAGGGTGGGGAATTTGACCCGGAAGTCTTAAAATTTTGTCCGTTTTTGTGTGCTTTCTGCATGCATGGAAAAGACTTCACATTCGCAGCAAATGCAGTTTTCTCTGATTTCGAGGGAAATGGCCTTAATTTTGTGAAAAACTGGCTCAAAGAAATGGGCATGTAAAAGTTATGTGCTTCATTTGAAGGTATGTACTACAAAATTGTGTAAAACTGTTAAATTTCCATAAGGTTTCCAAACTTTTTAAGTGAATTTCGCTATCTTGCCAAAAAACATTTCCATATATTTTGTACTTTTTGTATTTACTGTTTCATAATGTTCATATGAAGGTGGGGCATTTGAACGCTTAATTTCTTGTTACAGTGGGGCATTTGAAGACATTTTTTGCACAGGGGGTGGAGAATTTGATCAGTCAAATTTCAAAAAGTTCAAATTCCCGGGCTCGGCCCGGGGGGGGGTTCATGTTGAAGTTTCAAATTGATCGATACATAATTGGCTGAGGACCAATCAGATGTTGCCATGCTCATGATGTTCCAGTGTGGAATGTTTGTATTATGCAACCGAGGTATTGGATGCACAATTTTGATGCTTTCTATATTTACTATTAAATTTTTGAAATCTTGGTTGTGCAGTTTCCAAACTTTCCAGTCAGGATGATGTCCACTTCAATACTTCATGATTTTAATAAATTATGAAGGTCACATTCTTAATGGGTTCAAGCGAAAATAAGCATCCGGGTTTTGGTAATAAATGGGTTTGTCTTTTTCAATCAATGAAAATCAACAATCAATAATTGAAGTATAAATAGAAACAAATTTCGAACAATGTCATCTTGAGATTCAAGATTTGAATTAAAACAAGATGATCTTTTAACAATAATTATCGATTAATTATCATCGATTGATGTCGACTTTCATTGATTATCGATTTGATTGATTGGGAAATATGTGAAAGCAGCTTTATTAGCTGGTATTTATTAAAAGTACGACACACAAATGTCGACTCACTAAACAGGTAGTTCTCCATTTTGTGCTGTTCATAACAAACACAAAACATTTGAAACATGTCATTATGATCCAAGCTAGAACCTACCAGAGTAAGAGCAGCTCTCCTGGGTGTAAAACGTCGTGGTTTACTGATAACTTTAGCTGTGGCAGCCACTGTCACTCGCGCTGCCATAACAAACTTTATTACGTATTCCATCATTGTTTTCATCATTGTTTTCCATCATCTAGACGTTCGGAAATATTCGGAGTGTTCGGAGATTTGGCCGAACATGGCCCGACAAGCTTACGAACAGAAAAAGCATGTCAGAAGGAAAGAGTTGGATCTTTTGGTGAGAATTTTGGGTTGAAATTTGAATCTAAATCGAAGATATAGTGGTTTATTTCGTTCGAAATAATTATGGATGATGAAACAGAGACATACAGGTTTTGGAGAATAAGAAAAACTGTTATGCAGGTATACAATTTTTGCTATATTGTATTTCAACTTTTTCAAGGATTTCAAAGAATATATTTAGAAAAATAAAATGGCTTCACTAATGCATGAGTCAATTCCAACTGCGATCATCCCCCCCCCCCCGGGCGAACCCCCGGGAATTTGACTTTTCAAAAAAAATACGGTCAAATTTCCGACGGTGCGGGCGTAACCCTGTCAAATTCCCAACGGTGCGGGCAAAAACATACTAGTCAAATGTAGCCTGATAACAGACCTACGTTTCGCCCACCCTAAAATTCGAGGGTCGACGAAGAGCGAAACGTAGGTCTGATGAAAATGTTGTCAAAAGTGCATGTAAGTCGACCGCCAGGCGGTCGACAAAGCTGATTGGCTAATTCACAGGGAAATGGGTTGTGATTGGTTGGTCGCTAACATGAAAAGATTTGAAAATATCAGAATATTCTCAACGGTAAATCAACAAATATTCTAAATATTTTGTGATGCCGAACGGCAACTATCTACCGTATAAAATTAAAACTAGAGGGGAGTAGAACGGTACGTGTCAAATTCTTCAGCGTTGTATCTTTCCATTGTAATAAACAATACAATACAGTAATTATATTAATATAGGCAGATTTTATCGCATTTATAGAATGTGTTGAAAATGTTGTATTATTACCTTAGCTGTAACTGTTTATTTACAAAGGTTTAAGTATATAAAGGCAACAGGCTTCATGGGGTTACCAATATTTTAAATATTTATTCGAATATCTGTCTCTTGACTAGTTTACAAACTTGCAATAAAGTGAATCGACAACTTTCATTGACATTGTATTTTAAGGTATTACATGTATGTGTCAATCATCGTTGTTAATTATTGCAAAATGCAAAGTGGGCGGAAGGCGCTTTTGACAACATTTTCATCAGACCTACGTTTCGCCCTTTCCGTCGACGAATTTTAGGCGGGTGAAACGTAGGTCTGTTATCAGGCTAAGTCAAATGCCCATATCTGCCTCGTACGTTTCCCATATAATTTTACATGAAGAGAACCAGCTAGACTTTAATGTTTATTTAATTTTATGATCGGCTCAAAACTTTTAGTTTTGCAATTTATATTGTTTTGAAATGCCGTTTCTTTTTTAATTTATGCTCGCTATTGTAAGTTCAATTTCTTTTTATCTATAAAATATCATAACGACACATAACTTTTGAGACAAATTCTGCAAAAGAACAAGCAATTACAGCCTTTTTGACGTCCCTGGTCGAGTTCCAAACTTTGTATAACGGCATCTTATATAAAAACTATTCATGCCGTGCAGTATGTTTTTATATACACGCGAAAAAAATCACGTTCATCAACGTTCATCTACACCAAGCACTTAGTGCGACCGCTGGCCAATTTTGCGCCAGTGATCAGTCAAATGAAAGGGGTCAAATGCCCGACGGTGCGGGAATGTTTTCGCGTCAAATTCCCGCCTATGCAGGATTAATCTCTGGTCAAATCCCGGGGGTTCGCCCGGGGGGGGATGATCGCAGTTGGAATTGACTCATGCATAAGGTCTGAAGTAGAGTAATCAATTTTCAACTCTACAACATGTATCACATCACTGTGATACATGTTGCAAATGTCGGTTGCAAATTGATTATTAATTATTTGTTTCCACCTATATCCCAGACTGCAGAGTTGGTCAACGTCGCACTCGATATTTTTTTAAGCAGAAATTTCAGCGCACCTGGGATGTACTTTATAACAATTTTTGCAATTTAATCTGCCCTCTAATCTCTCATTTTCATTGTTTTTAACATGTATCTGGCTACTTTTGTGCCCTTGACTGCATCTTGATGCGCACTTGGGAACTGTTTTGCGCACCCGCGCTTCGATTTTCTAACTTTTGCGCACCCGAGATCTCGTTGAAAAGTGCCCAACTCTGCAGTCTGGCCTATATCAGGGACCATTCCAGACTGTAAAGTGTTAGTTTTGCATTTGAGCGGAGGTCCAACACGTAAGAGACAAAATAAATAATTAGTTCATCAAAAATATGCAGATTTGTAGGATTTTCTTGAAATTTCTGTGTGGGGAATGCATTCCCCACGCAGACCAAACTTTACAGTTTGGAGACCATTGACACATATATTTTGTCCCAGGGGCGGTGGAACAGGGGGGCTAGGGGGGCTAAAGCCCCCCCAGAAGTAAAAGTGGGGGGGCTTAGCCACCCCAGAAAATTTGAAATTTTTGAAAAAGTTTTGATAATTAGGGAAAAATTTAGGTTATTTTTTGAAAATTTAGGTATGAGGGGACAAATTTGCAATATGTTGTTTAAATTAAAAAAAGTGTATTTCCGAAAAAATTTTTTGATATAAGTCCGAAAAATTTTTTTTCGTCCCTTTTTTTGTATATTGTACCCCTAAAGTGGTACACTGACCGAAATTTTTTTGGCGACGGGGGGGGGGGAAGTTGCCGAAAAAATTTAGCCCCCCCAGAACGAAATCTGTTCCGCCGCCGCTGTTTTGTCCCACTTCACACGCTAATGTTTCACAATTGCTTTGAAACCCACCCACCTGCTTAATTAGTTTATATTCTTAAAAAAATAAGAATATATACTAGCTGGCAACTTTATTAAACATGTATTATGTTTGTATAAATTTTATTACTGTAACTTTTAATCTTCTTGAAACCAGGGGCGGATCTAGGATTTTTCAAACATAAGTCGAATGCCGAAGGCATGAAACATGCTAGGGGTGTCTAGGGGCACCCCCCCCCGAACATTTTGAAATCTAGAGTCTCTGAAATGCGATTTCAAACATTTTGGCGGTGAGATTTTGCAGAATTCCAAAGATTATAAAGTACGGTACATCAAGCACATGATTTTTTTATGATCTCACAAACGTGCCTTCTCCCAGTCCTCGGAATTAGATTTACTAACGGAGGGTCATATTACAAAACACATCGTGTAGTTTCAATAGCCTTTGAGTTTGGCTCATGAAATCCTTCGCAAATTGAAGTGATATGATTACAATGACCGATCCAATATAACTCGCTGTTTGTGAATCAAAATTCTCAAGCAAAATAAAGACTAATATTTCAATTATACTTTGTAAAATGCATTTTTTATTCAATGAATTACAATATGCTATAAATAAATGGACTTGTCACTTGTATAAAGTATAACGATATTCATCGCAAATCTTTCATGCAATGCAAATCATCCAAATGATATTGTTTTAACACTCCAATGGCAATGCTCTATTCTGACCCTTTTTATAATGGACAATGCATTTATAAATTATAAATACAGTAGGAAAGCTATAAGGCCTGAAAGCGCATTGTAAGTTGCAAGTCGATTGTGTGTAAAAATGTATTAAAGTGTGTTATATTTCAACTTCGCATTTTATATCATACAAGATACATTGCAATATATTTTCTGGTCATCGGTTTATACCAGCTGATATTTTGTTAGCTGATCGGTTTTTACCAGTTTAAATAAAGAAATTATTATTATTATTATTATATTAATTTCTGTTTCATAATTTTGGATATTTTCATACATTATAGCAGTGCACACTTTCCCTTTGGCTTTACCACCCAAATTACGACCATGATCTTTGTGAAGCACATAGCAGAGAAGTCCCAACTTAGTGCCTTCTCGTTGTTGAACAGAACAACATTATAAAAGCTGCTCACTTGATATCTTAGCTGCCTCATAATAATCTTCATTCAGAGACAATTCAAGTTTATTAAAATTAAAGGGTATTGGCAATAAAATTTTTTATTGCTTTATCTGAAAGAGCATGAAAAAATAAGCCGATTGCCCGTTTACTGCTCTATTCTATCTCATCTGGTTCCGAAGCTATATGCAAAAATGTGTAAAATATAAATTGCTGATTCAGCACAACGTGTGACATCATTAGTTGGGTAAGTGTGCTTATTGAATAGTAAACTGAAGCATATCTAAGCTATTATTGGCTCAAATCAAATGAAATTTTGCGTACAGATAGTACATGATGAGACGCATGGGAAAATACTTCTAATTTTGTTGTCAAGGCAACACAGTTGTTCCCAGTCCCCTTACACTGATTTTGAATAGCTAGTTGCATTTATCTATGTGTATGTCATTTTCGAATTATTATCATGCAAGTAAACTTTTGGCATGCATAGGTATCATACTCATACTTCTGATATTATTTTATCCTTATCAGTACCATGAATAAAGCTGTTTTATAAAATTGGCGCAAGGGGCCTGGGAACGACATTGTTACCTTGGCAACAAAATTAGAAGTGTTTTTCAATGTGTCTCATGTACAATCAGTATGTAAAATTTCATTTGATTAGGGCCCATAATAACTGAGCTATGCTTCAGTTTACTATTCAATAAACATACTTACCCAACTAATATTTTGCACATTTTTGCATATAACTTCGGAACCAGATGAGATAGAATAGAGCATATAAATAGTCTACATTGTAAAATAATTCTCCCGACTATGAAAAACCTTTATATACGGGAATACGAAAGACTGCTTTGCATGAATTTCGCAATTTTCAAGGACTGATATCCCCAGCCGCGAATAAAAGTCCGAATCTGTCCAAAAAAATGAACCAATAGGAATTGTCAATAATTTCAAATTGACCAATCAAAATGAAAGAAATGGACTGATAAAAACTCCCTTAAAGTGCAAATCAGTCGGACCGCCCCATAAAAACTCCCTTAAGTTGCAAATCAGTTCGACCACCCCACAATATTTTCAAATTGACCAATCAAAGGAAGGAAATGGACTGATTGCAAAT